ATAGACGACGCCAATCGGTTACCATTGAGTGATCAGGTGTGCTCGCTTGAGTAGACAAATCACCTGATGGTAAGGAATCGTAAAAAATCAAAATTGTCACTGCAAACAAAATACAACAAAAATTTTAAGGTCAGCAAAACCCACGAGTTATTGAAGCATGGGACGGGACATTGTCTAATGAATACTTAATACCATTTTATGGGGCACCCATTATTGATGGGTTTTTCCATACATTCCCATGAACTTTGCTTCTCGGATCAGTGGTTTTACGTGCCCTGTGTACTTAGCAAGAAAAATATATTCTAGATTGTATCTTTTGATTCTAAAAGACTTGGTTAGATTGATTGTTTTAGTCAGTTCAGTTTTAGTGGCTAGAAATGTGGTGGTGTTTTCGTTATGTTATTGTATTTGATTTTGATGAGATACTTATGTTCGGAGATCAAGCAGAAGCTCTTTGATAAATCGGAACCTTTTTAAACGATGATTTGGAACCGGTTTCATACCCTGTTATGAAGAGGATGCCCATAGTCTTACGCTGTGACCTGCGTGAGCGATCTAGAAGCGAAAGCGTGAATTCAATGCGATGCGATGTCCTACGTGCATGCGTTCGTTTCGCTTCGTTTTGGTTCCACATCCAAATATGACAGTTCACGCGAAAATATCAAACCAACTTATCGCATCCCACCTATCTTTTGTCAAGTAGGACACTCAATAGGTTTCGACAGTTTTTTGTTTTTGCACCGCGAAGCACCGCTCCGCATTCGCTCACGCAGGACGCAGCATAACAGTATGCAGTTTCAAAGCTTCAGTTATAGGTATTAGAAGACTGTTGCTACCTGATCTCTCTCAAATATATAGTCCCTTAGTTGGCTCATATGACATTCGTGGGAAGAGCCTCTACCGATATAGCTAAAATATTTCATTGATCCCCACTGCCTAGCACTCCAAGGTATCATTATGATGAATATTTTTCAATATAACAACTCTTCAACTTCACCAATTAGTTATGGTTAAACATTATTTTAACTAACATGTTCAATCAACAGGACTAACAAACATACAAATAAAAAAAGTAAAAAAAAAACAAAACGTTATGACCTGACCTTTGGCGGCGCCGAGCAACAGTCACTGGGGAAATGAGATAGGTGAAAGGGACAGCGAATAGGGTTATAGGGTTGACGCGTTAGGAGAAAATTATTTTTTTGTAATTTTTTAAATATTTTGACGTTGAAATTATTTTGTGAAGTTTTTTTGCAAAAGGTAAGAAAGTGTGTTATATATATGTTAAGTTAATCTCATATATTTTTTATTTCACAAATTTTTCACATAGCTCTAGATTCTAAAACAATTATTGTCTTCTTTGAGACATAATTACGAAAAAATCCTTTTTACACTTATTACCAAAACATTTGCAATAAATGAGTCATTAATTTACACACACACACACAAACTGCATTTTGTTATCGAGCTGCAACTATACGAACAGCATTAATGTCAATCACATCACAACACACGTAGTCATGTCATTTATTAATCTACCACTTCAAGCTTGTGTATCATGATAAATAGTATTAAACTGGTTCTTTGTCTATTTATAAATCTTTCTGCTCTTCAAGATTACCTAGAAATGATCTATATGTAGCGAAGAAGCCATGTTAATGGAAAACAGAAGCCATCTTAACGGAATATGTAGTTTGTTTGTTGCGTATACCTAAACTGGTGAATCAATTTTGATGGATTTTGTTACTGAGATAGATATCACTTTGAAAAATAATACAAGCTTATTCTTTTATTTATTTTTTATGAGTATCTATAAACTTAAACTGAAACGAGGTTACTTTAAGTTGCAATTACATAGTTATAGCCATCGGGCGCTTTATGATTTTGTCTCTTTTTGGCTCGTTTTAAAAGTGCCTAATTAAAAGGATTCATTGAAATAAATGCTTTGACTTTGCATTCTAAGCTATTTCACTTTGCTCTGTACAAACTAACTACTCAATATGACAATTTAAATGAACTTCACATAAGAAATTAACATTATAACTAAAATAATAAATGCCCTAATAAAATATAACCTCAAAAATAAACCCTTTACTAATTCAGCGCAGCCCTACAAGTAATTAACTCAAAGACGTTGCCGAAAAGGCTTTTTTTTCTCGTCTTAATTCATCGAAACATTTGTTTTAATTCTCAATCCTGTTAACTTGTGAGAAATCTCATAGTTGATCCAATGAGCGCTCATTTTTTATACCTTTTAATACTCCTATTTAGCATTGGATTTTCAACTCTACCTCGAAGTTATACGGTTGGAAGTTGATTGAATAATTTTGACAGATAGGATAGCTTGTCCTGCTGACGACTGGACCATTTTAATAAACCTTAATGAAAAGTGGACCACACGGTGTAATAGAGAAACAAATGAAGTGATTTTACTAGTGTTAATTTTAATATTAGTAATTGGGAATGTTGTGTCTATTGTAATCATTTTATTTCAAAAAAATTCATGTGCCAAAGCCATGCTTCGGCACGAATGGGCCGGCTCGACCGGAGTGATACCACGGCCTCACAGAAAACCGACGTGAAGCAACGCTTGCGTTGTGTTTCGTCGTGTGAGTGAGGTTACCGGAGGGCCAATTACCCTCCCCTTCCCCAATCTCCCCAATTCCTGAATCCCCAACGATCCTCAAACTCCTAATCCCCAAAAGACCGGTAACGCACTTGTAACGCCTCTGGTGTTCCAGGTATTCATGGGCGGCGCTGATTGCTTACTATCAGGTGATCCGTCTGCTCGTTTACCGGCTTATGCCATAAAAAATCTAGACTTTTTGGTGTAATGATGACTTTTATTATTGTTATTGTTTATTTATTCTTGTGGTAACATTATACGATCTATATTTAATGATATCAAGCAAAATATGAGATTTTTTTAAACCTTAACACGTTAAACGCCATGAGGGTCACCGGTGACCGACGTTAGTGGAGGATTTCCCTTAAACAGTTTTCTATTGGCAGTCAAAGCCTTAATTATTGAACAAGTTCTCTTAGTCACAGTCACACCATTTTTAAAAGAAAAACATTAGGTTTGTTTGCAAGTTGCACTTGCCAACACTTGACCAACGAGGTAGTCAGAGGCAAATTAGAACAAACTCAAAATTTTAATAATGAAATTTTACAATAGCACACTTAAAACCTTAATAAAACAATAATAAATAATAAAAAAAAATTAAAAACTACCATTAACTCGTTGAGCACCGTCATTATAGACACAATTATAGAACAATAGGTTGCGGTCACCGGTGTCTTCGCGGTGTTTGACAGTTTAATTAATAAAACCTTTTTTTGGAGTCGGTTAATTAATATACAAAAACCTTGTCCTAAGTGTTAACAGACACATTTCTGAATACCGTATCAAATTCTATTTAGCCAATTGCACATACACACATGTAACAAGTCAAACAGCGAACCTCATTTTTTTAAATCGTTTAATAACAAAATAAACTCAAAACTTTAAAAATTCTCATTATAGTAAATTAAAAAGAATGTTCCCATCTCCCCCATGAGACATTGTGTTTGTGACCAATCATTGATTCAATTGACCGTATCGTTTAAATTGTTTAAAGAAAACCCACTGGTGACCTCTCCTGACCTCCGGAGAGTGGGCGGGGTCAATTTTATTAAGAAAAAAAAACAACAAAATATTTTGTGAAGTGAAAAGATAGTTTTGTTGATTGTACATATTTGAGGTATGCATTGGTTTTTGGTGACGGTTCTAGCACAAGTAGTTGTAGACTTGGTTATCTAGTTAGGGGTCTAGGATTCGATTCTTACGTATTTCAATTTGAAATTTTTAAACGTGTCAATTTTAGAAATGCTCTGTATTTGACAGAACGCGTGGAATTTGACTCTAGGGTTTGCGATAGTAAGGATGGCGAGGATCGGGTTCGATTCTCGTGTGAAGCAAGGAATAATTAGTTTGGGAATTTGTCGCCGTTGTCCCGATGAGTGCCTGTGTGCTCAGCCTCTATTTTGTAAGTTTGTTTTAAGGTCTACTATTACTGCTGAAAATTGGGTTTTATTTATGTTACCTCTGCTTACCCCTCCAGGAAATGGCAAGTGTGGTGATACGTTTAGTGACCTCTAAGACACATTGACTCATTTTTCAAACTACATAAGGAACCCTGCCTTCGAAAACCGTTACGAATGATTGGTTTTACGAAATATGCACAAGAGTTGAATATTCTGTAAACAAGTTGATTGCATTCATGACTTGTCTTAGAAAATTGTTGATTTAATATGATGTTTATTTCATTTACGTAGATTGTTTGGGATTTTATGTAGGTATGTGGGATAGAGATTTTAAAAAATTGTCTTTGACGGCCGATAGAAAACTGTTGAAAGTAAATCCTCCGCTATCGTGGCCCATACCTTGTCCCCCATGGCGTTCAAGGTGTTAAGCGATAGAAAATATCTGCTAAAACAAATATTAAATCCATTAGGTACTTACGCTATTAAAATTACCATTACGTACTAACAGGGTTCCTAAACACAAGGTTCCTAAATTAAACAAAAAATATCAAAATAAATGTTCCAGTAGTTATATGTTACTTAAATATAGATATAGCAAACATTCAATGACCTAACACCATGTATTTCTTTGTTCCAGGCTAACCCAGCGGCCCCCTACACAAGAAGACCATAAAATCCCTCAAAATTACACGAATTCAATCCCCCAACAATAAACCAACCACCCTGAGTTTCACAGATCCATTTGGGCCTCCCCAGTCTTCGGACGGGGGGGGCCCATCTACCCCTCAACCGGCCCTGACCACCCAAGACTCAATAGACCACCAACACCATCATTTGGGGGGCTCACAAACTCCCCATGACATCTCCAACTCCGCTAATTCGACCCCAACAAATGTATCATCAAAATCGGCCTTTATAGAGTTACAACAACATGGTTATGGTCCTTTTAAGGGGGGATATCAGCATCCCCACCATTTTGGGAGTCCGGGTGGTCAGCAGAATCCTCATGAAGCTTCAGGGTTTCCAAGTCCTAGGTCGTTAGGGTATCCTTTTCCTCCGATGCACCAAAACACCTATGGTTATCATTTAGGGTCCTACGCGCCGCAATGTGCCAGTCCACCTAAAGATGGTGAGTTCAATTTTTGTATTTTATGTTTTTTTTTTACAGTTGCCTCACTCTTGATTTTCTCCTGTGTCGTGGATGCGTTTACAAACATACAAGTTCACATACACATGACACCTAGACCCGGAACAACAATCTGTGGATCACACAGAGATTTGTTCCGTGCGCGAATCGAACCAGCCTGTTGTCCAGCCCCCGTACCAACCGTGCAGTCTTGTTGTTACCGTTGCAATGAGAGCACGGCAATGTTTAAGAAGAAGTAGTACAGTTCAAGGCTGCCATTTCTTCAATAATTTTATCACTATAATTAACAAATTCCTATGACATGTTATCTCTTTGGTAAGGAACAGTGTCGTTATCCATATCGTATTATCAACAGCCTATAAGTGCCCACTGCTGAGCAAAGCCTCTTCTCACACGGAGAAGTCTTTAACATTAATCATCACGCTTGCTCAAAATTATAATTGGAAATTATAATTGTCAATGTCTAAATAATCGTAGAATGTACATATAATTCGGAAAAAATCACATTGGTACTTGCCGTTGGTAGGTTTAGAAACCGCACCCTCATGCATGAGAAGCGGTTGTCTTAAACTTACGGCCCACCACGACATTATACAGCCAATTAAAAAAATAGACCAAAACTCTTTCTAAAGACGTCATAAACGTTCAAATCTACTATTATGTAATAACGAATTCAAATGAACCGCTTTTAACACCTTCGGAATAAAAGGACGTCTCCAATATAAGTACGTAGTCGTATAATATCAAAATTATCCGTAATTTGTCGTCCATTACAGATTGTCTTACGAAATACCCTATTTTGACCTTTTTAACCCCAAAATTATCGACACCAAAGTGTCTTGATCGCCACATTATAGACGAAATTGTCATTTCGAGGCGTCAACTACGAATTTTCGTAAAGTTTCACCCCGAAAAAAGTTGATAATTCGACGAAAGAACAAAGGGAATTGTCGTTTTTTTGTCGTTGAATATTTTATTTGGAATTCAGTATGGTTTGGGTTGATTTATAAGTAACGATACGACTACGATATTACTTTTTTTTGAGGACTGTAAGGAATTGGCCATAAAATTAATTATTTATACATATGATGCTATTTAGTACTATTGTATTAATTATAAAAGGATCTGTGCAAAATGGTAAAATTGGCTTAAATATCCTCAATTGTTTAGTCCAAGTCACTTTTAAAACGACAAAATAAGACTGTCAGCGAAGCTGGTGCTTGTCCTAAATCGTACATTTGTATTGAGAAGAATGAGCAAGAAACTGCAATATTACTTGATCTTCAATATTCTGTCTAATCTTCCGATTTAATCCAAAAATCGTGCTATAAAATTACATTTATGACTCTGCAGTTTAAATATCAAGGCAAAAATATAATACCGTTTTATTGCTTTTCGAAAAATCGTGACAACTAAAGTGGTTTTTGAAATGTACGTCAAAACAGTACGTAATTGTAGTACGGAACCATAGGTTTAATATTTAATGGAGTCCCCTAGCTAGCGCAGTTTGAACTATAATTAGGGATGTCACTTTGACTAGATCGTGAACTGTATCGATGTTCTTTTTTATCGATAGATATCTTTTTATCGATGTTTTTATTTAATTTTTATGTAAATATAAATGTGTTTTACTGTGCCTAGACTAGTCTTGAATTTATAATTTTGCTTATATTTAATTCAGAGGAGAATTTTCATAGATTGTTAGGCTCAAAACGATTAGTATGTATTATTAATTCATACATACAAAATAATTAGTTTTTATGCAGTCCAATCTTAAATAGAAAACGACGTTATTTGTGTTTAATACGTGTAGGTATAACACAAATACAATAAATCAATCAATTCAAACGAATTTATGTTTACCCTTTTAGAAAATAGAATGCATTATTAAACAATGTCTTTTATTTCTGATTGACGATTTAAGTTCTAGAAAGCGATGGTACATAATGTATCACTTCAAAGGCATTTCAAAGTAAATAAAATATGATGTCTTTGTCGATGCAAATTGTCCGGTACTAAGAATAAATGTGCGCATACTGGTCTTTACCCCATTGACTAGAAAGAGGGTTATGGTTTAGAAAAAAAGGTTTTAAGTTCTACTGATGACCGTAATCCGGTACTGATGACCGGTCTCCGTACCGAAGGTTTAAGAAGCCCGCTTCTCATGTACGAGGGTTCGAAATTTACCAACGGCAACGGAGTTATATGTACTTTCTAAGATTATTTAGACACCACTGACAAACGATGAAGGAAAAAGATTGTGAGGAAACCTGGGCTTATAATTTCTAATTATAAGTTTAACTCGTCGAGTACCGGTTTTGTAGACACAATTATAGAACAATAGGTTGCGGTCACCGGTGACCGCTTGGTGTTTGACAGTTTAAAATCGCTAACCTGCATTGAGCAAGCGTGGTGATTAATGCTCAAAACTTCTCCGTGTGAGCTTGTACTTCAGCAGTGGCCACTTATGGGCTGTTGATGTGATGTGATGTTGATCGCAGGAAGATTTGATAGTGGGTATGCTGACGACCAGCTATAAGATGTCAATTCGAACTCTCGTAGTAAGGTCGATCGCATTCTCACACGTCATTGTTTCTCATTCTCACAAACAAAGACATGGCGGACCACGATCTAGCTCAATTCGAGAGTTCCAACTGATATATTATTATGTTTTCGGCTTTCTCTCGTAATTATTTGACGAGAAACTTGACTAGTTTCAAGCCTTGCTAGAGGCTCATATTCATGAGCAGTATTTCTATTATTTTAATAGCTATTATTTTCCAACTGATATCTTACAGAATAGCCTAATCCAACCAGATCCGTGCGTCCGACGCAGGCTTCGCGGTCCACGCGCATCAAAGAGCCATTAGACCACCACAGATGGGGCCCAATAGTGCTGATACCCGATTTGGAGCCACAGACGACCTAACGGGTTATCGGGGCTCTGGTACAAAGCAGGAGTAGGAACGGGGTGGTTTTTAGTCTGTAAGAGTCTGACGCTCTCTCGTCTCACCATAAGCGGGCGAAGTCATTGGATTTTCCCCCCTCAAAAAGCAAAGAGTTTACCTTCAAGAACGTTCATAAAGGAACATTCCTCCTCCTTTTTCAAAGATTAGTAACGCACTTGTAACTCCTCCGGTGTTTATAAGTGACACGTCATAATATTATATAAATTACTATCAAAGATTTATAAATAGTGACTTTTAAACAAAACGGTCTTTATTCGATTCCCACGCGCAAAAATGATGACATGTAGTTCAGAAATTATTGTTCTAGGCCTGGTTGTGCTGTGTGAAGGTTAGATTGTGCTTTTGCACGCACGTATGACATAGAAATAAATTTTATTGTCTGACAATGGTGTTAATTAGGGAATAATGTAGATTGTACTACGTTTTTTTTAATTTAGTTGGTCATATAATAATTTTTTAATATTAGAAGGGACAGTCGCCAAAAACTGGTCTACTAACAATGTTTTTTTTGCAAATCACGTCTAAACCTCTAAATAGGTTTTTCATAGATTTGTGGAGGTTAAAATAAGACTGTAATGTCGTGATTAAAGATACGGATAAAAGCTAATGTTCCAATATTATCAGTCGCGTGCAAACAATAATTATCATTCATAGTAAATAATTAATTAAACATCGATATTTTACGCTTTCAACATTCAAAGTTTTAAATATTAATAGCAACCCACCCCGCTTTTTTATCATACATATAAACTTTCCATAAGAATCACTTTATCTATTAAAAAAACCCGCATCAAAATCCGCTGCGTAGTTTTAAAGATCTAAGCATACATAGGGACAGACAAACGGTTGATAGCGACTTTGTTTTATACTATGTAGTGATTCCTAATACAGTCATGAGGGCTAGAAGTTATACTAACTAACTAACTAAATAATAAAAACTGTGAAATTATAGAGAAATATTCCACATGATTTTCATGTTAAAAATGACCATTGTTAGCCTGGAGTCAGAAACTTTGATCATGTTTCATTGTCTTACTATTGTCTCACCCATAAAGGGGTTTAGGCATTTCATGATTTGAGGATAAGGGATGGAGGTGAAGATTTGGGCCTCAGGTAACCTCACACACGGCGAAATATAACGTAAACGTTATTTCACATAGGTTATCTGTGAGGTAAAAATATATACAATGACTTCTCCCGCATTTAATGAGGTGAGACAAAGAATCTTGCCGACTAAAACCCATTAATTCCTACTTGTTTTTCGAGCTGGTGTCCAAGCAACCAGCTAGACCGACCACAGTTTTCTATAAGGCCGTGGATCACTCCGATCGAGTCGGCCAATTCGTGCTGAAACATGACTACTTAACATGGCTACTTAACCCAGTCCTTTGCAATTGTTTTCGGAACAGAATCGTTACTCAAGAATAGTTCAAGTAATCATACAATGTCTCTGAGTATCGCAGTAAGTATCATATCTAAAACATATAAAAAAAGACTCTCTCAATCACAAATAATACGTGATATTATGTAATTAAAGGATCATAAAACGAACAAAAGATCAGTTTCACTTTCAAGAATGCCATCCGCGAAAAAAGAGCACGCGAACCACAGACAAATGAATATAGACGTCGACAAAAAAAAACCGTGATAACTTTTTTAAGCATCGAAAATTTCGTGCGAAGGAAACTGTGATTAAATTGATGTGTTCCGACACGCGTCTTCCTTGCTGTACAGGGATGGCACTTCTTACTTTTTATATAGTCTTTGGTATGATATTTTATCTGTGATTTTTTTATTAGGTTGGTACCAAGTGTCAAGTTTCAAAGGTATTGGATATATTGAAAAAGCGTTTTTTTTTTTGGCAGATAGGTATTATGATTTATTTTGCTTAGTTTGGTTTTATATCTTTGACTGCCTCGATAGCCGAGTGGTCGCAAGTGCGACTGCCAGGCAAGGGGTCTCGGGTTCGATTCCCGGGTTGGGCAAAGTATTACTGGGTTTTAAAAAAATCTC